AACCTTTGGGCTAGTTATATCATGAAAGATTGGAGGGGGACATATCTCTGTTGGTGGGTGTGGTGTAGTGTGCTGTTGCTGCTACCCTGGGGCACGTCCACCCCGGGGGTGGTGCTGCCCTGGGGCACGTCCACCCCGGGGGTGGTGCTACCCTGGGGCACGTCCACCCCGGGGGTGGTGCTAGTCTAGGGCACGTCCACCCCGGGGGTGGTGCTGCCCTGGGGCACGTCCACCCCGGGGGTGGTGCTAGTCTAGGGCACGTCCACCCCGGGGGTGGTGCTGCCCTGGGGCACGTCCACCCCGGGGGTGGTGCTAGTCTAGGGCACGTCCACCCCGGGGGTGGTGCTGCCCTGGGGCACGTCCACCCCGGGGGTGGTGCTAGTCTAGGGCACGTCCACCCCGGGGGTGGTGCTGCCCTGGGGCACGTCCACCCCGGGGGTGGTGCTAGTCTAGGGCACGTCCACCCCGGGGGTGGTGCTACCCTGGGGCACGTCCACCCCGGGGGTGGTGCTAACCTGTCGCACGTCCACCCCGGGGGTGGTGCTACCCTGGGGCACGTCCACCCCGGGGGTGGTGCTACCCTGGGGCACGTCCACCCCGGGGGTGGTGCTACCCTGGGGCACGTCCACCCCGGGGGTGGTGCTACCCTGGGGCACGTCCACCCCGGGGGTGGTGCTAGTCTAGGGCACGTCCACCCCGGGGGTGGTGCTAGTCTAGGGCACGTCCACCCCGGGGGTGGTGCTAGTCTAGGGCACGTCCACCCCGGGGGTGGTACTAGCGAGCACAGGATTACTGCCAAACGAGGCTACAAAAGTCCCCCGAAGGAGTAGAGTAGCGGTGGTATGAGTGTGAAGGGTGGGGGGGGGAGGGGCACCACAGGTAATTATGAGTGTCGGCATGAGGTTTGCTGAGCAGACAACTGGCTGCTGGTGTGCGGGTACGCATGCACCCAGGACGCAGAGTGCATCTTACGCTACGCCGCCTCCACGTGTCCAACGTCAAGCCTGACGCAAACTGCGTCCCTCACACACCAAACGTCACAGGGGAGGCGCTCCCCCCCATCCATGACTAAGGGAGTCGGGACGCAGGGAGCAAGGTGGACCACCCCGCCAGGACACACAGGGGGGCACACTCCAGGACACATGGGGAGGGCGTAGGGAGCACTCCACCTCTGGGCGGCACACTCGCCCCGCGCAAGAGGAATCCTGAGCGGAAATGTCTACTGTAACATGAACTATTACAGGAAAAAATCTGTCGTACAGTGCCGCTGTAACGGTTCTAAGGATACATTCAGTAAAAATCAGTGCTCCATTCATTACAAAATAAAGAGAACAGACGAAAAATTGAACGAACAAAGATAAGTATAACAATTTACTGTTAGCAACTGAAGAGATACAAAACAAAATACGATATTCGGCAAATTAGAAAAAAGCAACATGTTAACGGTCGGATGAGTACCGCAGATAAACTATTAATTGAAATAAGAAATATAAAAATGCAGTTAATCGATAATATATATATATATATATATATATATATATATATATATATATATATATATATATATATATATATATATTATATATATATATATTATATATATATATTTTATATATATATATATATATATATATATATATATATATATATATATATATATATATATATATATATAATGTGGAAAAAAAAATTGTTATTGAAGAACCACTGCTGGAAATACAAAGGGTCAATATTGTCGGGGTCCCACAAGGGGGCCGACAGGCTTAAGGTGAGTAAGAATGAGGTTATGAGAGCTCACATATGAGGACAAGACTCACAACACAGAGAAAGCAGGTTAGATCAACTTTCACTGAAACAAATTATCTCCTATTTACAGCCTGAAAGATAAAACGTAAATATATATATATATATATATATTTATATATTTATATATTTATATAGATATATATAAAAATGATAAAATCAGAACTTAATAAGAAAGCCAAGAAAGCATAGTATCCACTGTAAGAATATTGAAGCGAAGCTAATATGGGGGTGGGTATCACTGTACTGCTAATATGGGGATGGGTATCACTGTACTGCTAATATGGGGATGGGTATCACTGTACTGCTAATATGGGGGTGGGTATCACTGTACTGCTAATATGGGGGTGGGTATCACTGTACTGCTAATATGGGGGTGGGTATCACTGTACTGCTAATATGAGGGTGGGTATCACTGTACTGCTAATATGGGGGTGGGTATCACTGTACTGCTAATATGGGGGTGGGTATCACTGTACTGCTAATATGGGGGTGGGTATCACTGTACTGCTAATATGGGGGTGGGTATCACTGTACTGCTAATATGGGGGTGGGTATCACTGTACTGCTAATATGGGGGTGGGTATCACTGTACTGCTAATATGGGGATGGGTATCACTGTACTGCTAATATGGGGGTGGGTATCACTGTACTGCTAATATGGGGGTGGGTATCACTGTACTGCTAATATGGGGATGGGTATCACTGTACTGCTAATATGGGGGTGGGTATGACTGTACTGCTAATATGGGGGTGGGTATCACTGTACTGCTAATATGGGGGTGGGTATCACTGTACTGCTAATATGGGGGTGGGTATCACTGTACTGCTAATATGGGGGTGGGTATCACTGTACTGCTAATATGGGGGGTGGGTATCACTGTACTGCTAATATGGGGGGTGGGTATCACTGTACTGCTAATATGGGGATGGGTATCACTAATGAGGTAAGTCTCATCTTCCCTCACCTCCCCCCCCCCCTCCTCCTACCTACACTCATACTGAGTTATGAGTAGTTTTACCAGGGGAAAACTAGCAGTTTGAAAGACTTTGTGTGATAGCTCGACACCTGATAATCGCAGTCACATTTCAGCTCCTCTACCAAAGTGTGTCATTTGGTTTCAGTTGCTACATATAATTCTTATAGACTATAAGCTTGAGGGTGCGTGCGTGTGCGTGTGGAGGGGGGGCGGCGTACGGGGGGAGGGGGGGGGGTGATAAAAGCATGAACTAGGGTGAACAATCCAATGTTTGTTTACACTGCTGTGCCTGGAGGAAATTGACCTACAACATAGGCACTTCAGACAGTTTAAATGTGATTATTGGTGCACTAATGTGTGTTTAGTGAAGAGCAGCTAGTAGGTAGGCTACTTTGGAATTCAAATCTAGGGGCACGAGACGCTTTGAATTGAGAAGGGGGGGGAGAAAGGGGGGGAGGGGAGATTAATGGTTCCCTGTATGCATGATGGAGTCCCCCCCTCCCCACCCCCGCCCCCCTCCACTAGGGGGGGTGTCCCTGTGTGTATTCGATGTTGCTTTGCACAATCCTGCCAAGTACTTGTTATCTTGTCTGCTAGCAACACCTGGCTATCGTCTCCTAGCAACACCTGGCTATCGTCTCCTAGCAACACCTGGCTATCGTCTGCTAGCAACACCTGGCTATCGTCTCCTAGCAACACCTGGCTATCGTCTAGCAACACCTGGCTATCGTCTAGCAACACCTGGCTATTGTCTGCAAGCAACACCTGGCTATCGTCTCCTAGCAACACCTGGCTATCGTCTCCTAGCAACACCTGGCTATCGTCTCCTAGCAACACCTGGCTATCGTCTCCTAGCAACACCTGGCTATCGTCTCCTAGCAACACCTGGCTATCGTCTCCTAGCAACACCTGGCTACCGTCTCCTCGCAACACCTGGCTATCGTCTTCTAGACACACATGGCTATCGTCTCCTACACACCTGGCTATCGTCTCCTAGCAACACCTGGCTATCGTCTCCTAGACACACCTGGCTATCGTCACAGACACACCTGGCTATCGTCTCCTAGCAACACCTGGCTATCGTCTCCTAGCAACACCTGGCTATCGTCTCCTAGCAACACCTGGCTATCGTCTCCTAGACACACCTGGCTATCGTCTCCTAGACACACCTGGCTATCGTCTCCTAGACACACCTGGCTATCGTCTAGACACACCTGGCTACCGTCTCCTAGACACACCTGGCTACCGTCTCCTCGCAACACCTGGCTATCGTCTTCTAGACACACATGGCTATCGTCTCCTACACACCTGGCTATCGTCTCCTAGCAACACCTGGCTATCGTCTCCTAGACACACCTGGCTATCGTCACAGACACACCTGGCTATCGTCACAGACACACCTGGCTATCGTCTCCTAGCAACACCTGGCTATCGTCTCCTAGACACACCTGGCTATCGTCTCCTAGACACACCTGGCTATCGTCTCCTAGACACACCTGGCTATCGTCTCCTAGACACACCTGGCTATCGTCTCCTAGACACACCTGGCTATCGTCTCCTAGACACACCTGGCTATCGTCTCCTAGACACACCTGGCTATCGTCTCCTAGACACACCTGGCTATCGTCTCCTAGACACACCTGGCTATCGTCTCCTAGACACACCTGGCTATCGTCTCCTAGACACACCTGGCTATCGTCTCCTAGACACACCTGGCTATCGTCTCCTAGACACACCTGGCTATCGTCTCCTAGCAACACCTGGCTATCGTCTCCTAGCAACACCTGGCTATCGTCTCCTAGCAACACGTGGCTATCGTCTCCTAGCAACACCTGGCTATCGTCTCCTAGCAACACCTGGCTATCGTCTCCTAGCAACACCTGGCTATATATCTTCCCTCAACACCCAACGGGTGTATGGCAAAGCAAGCAAAATTATTTTCTACTAAATACAAATGCTGGAAAAAAAAGCATTGAAGAAAATGAAACATGTATAGAACATGAAAAATAGAACAAGCAATAGTGAAAATTTGTAGAATAATACATTATGAACACGCAAAACAACATTCACTATCCCTAATAATATATATATATATAATGAAGTCAAAGTTTGAAGAGTAGGGGGGAGGAGGTGGAGGGTGCCTCTCTTCCCCCAGCAAGAGGGAGAGGGGGGGGGGGAGGGAGGCGGCTTTGGGATTGGAGGGGAGGGAAATCCTACCTCAAGCCGGTCTGTCCGTGGCACCTTCTGGGCCGGCACTACTTGCTGTGGCACCACGGCATTGATGGGGGAGGCCACAGCACCGTCAGTCATACCCATGGCCATCACAGGAGAGGAGGCGATGTAGGGGTTGAAGTTACTCATGGTTGGGATGCCGGCCAAGTATGGCGCAGAGTTGTGCTGTGGACGAGGGAGAGAGAGAGAGGGAGAGAGGGAGAGGTTAACATTCACTTCCTCGAAACGACGTCATTTGCTGCTCTATAAATCATTTGCATCAACAGTCATGAGCTAAAATTGAGGGATCTGTGACGTGGACTGACAGTATAGTTGGGATGTGTCATGTCCCCTCACAGCTCTCAATATATTTATTCTATTTAGGACCGAAATTTATACAAACATCAAACAGGGCAAATTAAGTGTAGGGCAAAGCAACATTCTATACAGGATCTTAACAGGAACTGGCGGAATATCCATACAAAGATTGGGTAAGGCAGGAGAAAGGTCACTGTACAGCAAAGGGTACAGCTGGTGGGTAAGGAGCAGCTGGTGGGTAAGGAGCAGCTGGTGGGTAAGGAGCAGCTGGTGGGTAAGGTGCAGCTGGTGGTAAAAGTGCAGCTGGTGTAGGAGCAGCAGCTGGTGTAATAACAGGTAGTGGTGTAGAAGCAGCTAGTGTATGAGCAGCAGCTGGTGGTAAAGGTGCAGCTGGTGTAGCAGCAGCTGGTGGTAAAGGTGCAGCTGGTGTAGCAGCAGCTGGTGGTAAAGGTGCAGCTGGTGTAGGAGCAGCAGCTGGTGGTAAAGGTGCAGCTGTTGCACCTTTATGGTGGTGGTGTAGGAACCGCTAAGGTTTCAGAAGAAGTATGGCACCAAGGCTTGCCTGAAATAACCTCCAATTTCATGTGTGTTCCAGCAATATTTCGTATGCTCGCTGGGAGGACGTTGAACAACCGCGGACCTCTGATGTTTATACAGTGTTCTCTGATTGTGCCTATGGCACCTCTGCTCTTCACTGGACCTCTGATGTTTATACAGTGTTCTCTGATTGTGCCTATGGCACCTCTGCTCTTCACTGGTTCTATTCTGCATTTCCTTCCGTGTGTTGTTATTCTACTGTGCAAATTTGGGACCTGGCCCTCCAGTATTTTCCATGTATATATTATTTGATACCTTTCTCGTCTCCTTTCCAGAGAGAACATTTTGAGAGCTTTGAGACGGTCCCAATAGTTTAGATGTTTTATCGTGTCTATGCGTGCCGTATATGTTCTCTGTATTCCCTCTAACTCAGAGATCTCTCCTGCTCTGAAGGGGGAAGTGAGTACCGAGCAGTACTCAAGACGGGACAACACCAGTGATTTAAATAGTATTAACATTGCTGTGATCTCTGGATGTGAACGTTCTCATAATCCATCCTATCATTGTCCTGTGTGATACTTTGTCTATACCTAGAGAATGCCTGGAGTGGCTTAGCCAAGCCGGACCCCTGGAGTGGCTTAGCCAAGCCGGACCCCTGGAGTGGCTTAGCCAAGCCGGACCCCTGGAGTGGCTTAGCCAAGCCGGACCCCTGGAGTGGCTTAGCCAAGCCGGACCCCTGGAGTGGCTTAGCCAAGCCGGACCCCTGGAGTGGCTTAGCCAAGCCGGACCCCTGGAGTGGCTTAGCCAAGCCGGACCCCTGGAGTGGCTTAGCCAAGCCGGACCCCTGGAGTGGCTTAGCCAAGCCGGACCCCTGGAGTGGCTTAGCCAAGCCGGACCCCTGGAGTGGCTTAGCCAAGCCGGACCCCTGGAGTGGCTTAGCCAAGCCGGACCCCTGGAGTGGCTTAGCCAAGCCGGACCCCTGGAGTGGCTTAGCCAAGCCGGACCCCTGGAGTGGCTTAGCCAAGCCGGACCCCTGGAGTGGCTTAGCCAAGCCGGACCCCTGGAGTGGCTTAGCCAAGCCGGACCCCTGGAGTGGCTTAGCCAAGCCGGACCCCTGGAGTGGCTTAGCCAAGCCGGACCCCTGGAGTGGCTTAGCCAAGCCGGACCCCTGGAGTGGCTTAGCCAAGCCGGACCCCTAGAGTGGCTTAGCCAAGCCGGACCCCTGGAGTGGCTTAGCCAAGCCGGACCCCTGGAGTGGCTTAGCCAAGCCGGACCCCTAGAGTGGCTTAGCCAAGCCGGACCCCTGGAGTGGCTTAGCCAAGCCGGACCCCTGGAGTGGCTTAGCCAAGCCGGACCCCTGGAGTGGCTTAGCCAAGCCGGACCCCTGGAGTGGCTTAGCCAAGCCGGACCCCTGGAGTGGCTTAGCCAAGCCGGACCCCTGGAGTGGCTTAGCCAGGCCAGACCCTGAAGTCGTGTCTTGACCTGATCTGATCTAACAGGCTGCTGCTGGGAGCGCCCCGCAAGTCTACATAGGTCGGCCGACATAATTATCCTTAGATCCTAAACATGCTTTTAAGATTCTCTACGAAAACATGACTGTGTTTAGCACAGTATGTCCCGTTTTCTTCCTTCCCCCAGGCAGGTGAAGTCGACTTGTCCACGTAATAGAACATCGTATTTTGACGTATACGCCACCTAAGGCCAAAAATCGTCGTATTAGAAAATGGCAGCGGCTGGCGAAGTTGACACACTGTCCCGTTTTCTGTTTTGGGTCCTCTGGTAGGTTAGGATAAGGGGGGCGCTTCAGTACGACAGTTTCTTGACGTTGGGGAACCTTAGGAGGACTGACTGTTATTCTCGGCTCTGTGGGAGACGTTTCCTGTCTAGTTTTCACTGTTTACCACCAAAGGAATTTTTATGGTGATTTTAGTATCTTAAATATGCCGCAGTGACTTCCGCGAGCACAAGATGAACACTCAAGAGTTCCCTAGGGGCCAGGATGATGTACACTAAGGGTTCCCTAGGGGCCCAGGATGATGTACACTAAGGGTTCCCTAGGGGCCAGGATGATGTACACTAAGGGTTCCCTAGGGGCCAGGATGATGTACACTAAGGGTTCCCTAGGGGCCAGGATGATGTACACTAAGGGTTCCCTAGGGGCCAGGATGATGTACACTAAGGGTTCCCTAGGGGCCCAGGATGATGTACACTAAGGGTTCCCTAGGGGCCAGGATGATGTACACTAAGGGTTCCCTAGGGGCCAGGATGATGTACACTAAGGGTTCCCTAGGGGCCAGGATGATGTACACTAAGGGTTCCCTAGGGGCCCAGGATGATGTACACTAAGGGTTCCCTAGGGGCCCAGGATGATGTACACTAAGGGTTCCCTAGGGGCCAGGATGATGTACACTAAGGGTTCCCTAGGGGCCAGGATGATGTACACTAAGGGTTCCCTAGGGGCCCAGGATGATGTACACTAAGGGTTCCCTAGGGGCCCAGGATGATGTACACTAAGGGTTCCCTAGGGGCCCAGGATGAACTTGAAGTTTGGAACTCTCCAGGGAAGATGATCCCCAAATTTGACTCTAAGAAATAGATTAAGAGCGACAAACATTGTCTCGTAAGACGTGGATACCTTTCTTGTCCCAGTCTTGGTACACAATTACCGACCTCCAGTGTCACCTGCTTCTAAAACTGCTTGCCGCGTGTGTGTGTGTGTGTGTGTGTGTGTGTGTGTGTGTGTGTGTGTGTGTGTGTGTGTGTGTGTCTGTGTCTGTGTCTGTGTCTGTGTCTCTGTGTGTCTGTGTGTCTGTGTGTGTGTGTGTGTGTGTGTGTGTGTGTGTGTGTGTGTGTGTGTGTCTGTGTCTGTGTCTGTGTCTGTGTCTCTGTGTGTCTGTGTGTGTGTGTGTGTGTGTGTGTGTGTGTGTGTGTGTGTGTGTGTGTGTGTGTGTGTGTCTGTGTCTGTGTCTGTGTGTGTGTGTCTGTGTGTGTGTGTGTGTGTGTGTGTGTGTGTGTGTGTGTGTGTGTGTGTGTGTGTGTGTGTGTGTGTGTGTGTGTGTGTGTGTGTGTGTGTGTGTGTGTGTGTGTGTGTGTGTGTGTGTGTGTGTGTGTGTGTGTGTGTGTGTGTGTGTGTGTGTGTGTGTGTGTGTGTGTGTGTGTGTGTGTGTGTGTGTGTGTGTGTGTGTGTGTGTGTGTGTGTGTGTGTGTCTGTGTGTGTGTGTGTGTCTGTGTGTGTGTGTGTGTGTGTGTGTGTGTGTGTGTCTGTGTGTGTGTGTGTGTGTGTGTGTGTGTGTGTGTCTGTGTGTGTCTGTGTGTGTCTGTGTGTGTCTGTGTGTGTGTGTGTGTGTGTGTGTGTGTGTGTGTGTGTGTGTGTGTGTGTGTGTGTGTGTGTGTGTGTGTGTGTGTGTCTGTGTGTGTGTGTGTGTGTCTGTGTGTGTGTGTGTGTCTGTGTGTGTCTGTGTGTGTGTCTGTCTGTGTGTGTCTGTGTGTGTGTGTCTGTGTTTGTGTCTACTGTACCCACCATCTCGACGGCGCGGACGCCTCTATAATCGAACACAGACTAGGCTTTATCAAACCATTATCTCGGTAATTGTCTTTTGGGTGTAGTGTCATTATCTCCCTAACGACCATTAGGGCCGATGAAGATGAATCACTTACCAGTAATTAATGCCCGGGGGCCGAAACCAACACGAAATGAATTAAAAGAAAAAAAAAAACACTAGAACCCGACGCGTCAATACTGTTTACCATTCACATATAATTATAGTTAAAGCGATCATCAATATAACTCGAGTCACTAAAACCTCAATTGTTCTCCAACATCACCAACAGTGATGGTGATGACATGATATAATTGTTCTCCAACAGTATATCCGTGGACAATATGACAACAGTCTTCCTGTCTGGTCAATACAACCCTCCTTCAGTCCTAGTCTTGCTGTCTGGTCAATACAACCCAGTCTTGCTGTCTGGTCAATACAACCCTCCTTCAGTCTTGCTGTCTGGTCAATACAACCCAGTCTTGCTGTCTGGTCAATACAACCCAGTCTTGCTGTCTGGTCAATACAACCCAGTCTTGCTGTCTGGTCAATACAACCCAGTCTTGCTGTCTGGTCAATACAACCCTCCTTCAGTCTTGCTGTCTGGTCAATACAACCCTCCTTCAGTCTTGCTGTCTGGTCAATACAACCCAGTCTTGCTGTCTGGTCAATACAACCCTCCTTCAGTCTTGCTGTCTGGTCAATACAACCCAGTCTTGCTGTCTGGTCAATACAACCCTCCTTCAGTCTTGCTGTCTGGTCAATACAACCCTCCTTCAGTCTTGTCTGGTC